GGTAGATTTAGGCGAAAACAGTTTCTTGAATAAATTTGCAGGAATGAAAACCGATCGAAAAAAAAAGTCGAGGTTTTTTGCGATGCAAAGCTTAGGCCGGAAGTTGATAGAGTCATATACATTTACGTCAACACAAACATCTAACCACTGATTCATTAGTGTACCGTCTTCTTCACATCTTTTGTTTCCGACGCCTGGCTTCCATAGACATGTTCCAGTAGTGCTTGGCCGGCTTCCTCCCATATATCAGTTTCATTCACATCGATACACACAATCTCACCCGTGGGTTTCAAATTTATTGCTTTGACTGTCGTTGATAAAATAATTTTCCAGTATTTCGGCACTGCTTCGGAGTTTTGGGACTAAGTTGCGAGCTTTAATGTCGCTGGTGCGTATTCGTATCTATCAGTTGCTCAGTCACATCACACCGAAATATTATGAACGTTAGTTATTTCCATCTTACATAAATCCTCAAAAAAGGAAAAATTCTTGAAAAATTTTACACATTTGAAGCGACCGGCATATTGAGCGATCATCGCAGATTGAATTGCGATCGCCAATTTTAGGCGCCAACTGGTTGACACGAGATTGTTAACACGAAAAATGGTGAAAAATGAACTAAAAAATTTTGAATATTTTTTATTCAGACGCATCAGCCTCTAAGCCATAAGCACTCAGTTCTTGAATTAAAGATGCCATAGTTGCCACCAAAGTACTATATTTGGGAACTAAGGTAATTTAGGTCCATCGAAAATACAGCATCTTTCAAATATACGCTGTTTTGTCTTTTTTTTTATTGTAAAATGCAACTATTAGTAGATGAAAGTGTGACCCATAGCTATCTTTGACCTTAAACTTTCATAGCTGCAGATACCTACGCATCACTTTTACGAGAACTGGTCGCAGATTTGACGCTGTCCGACAACGGTCAGTCAAAGGCTAGTACGTCTCTATTGGCTTCACTTTGTCCAGGCGTCGACAGGTCCTTATTGGGTGCTTGGCTTCGAGACACTGATCAAGCGTTCGTTGAACTCGAGGTAAATTTACTGATATCTTAAGATATGAGACTGCAGGATATCTGTTCTGGGAATTTAATCCTCCGAAACAAAATGTCTTTCAAAAAATATTTTTCTAGGTAATAATTCAATCCATTGAATCTCTCAGGAACATTTTTGGTTGTGAGTGAAGTTCTGGTGCGAGATACCGCAAGTTCCGGTCCCCAAAATTTCAGCCTCCCAGCCTCCTTGGTTGCTGAGTTGAAAGTGGGTGACAAGCAAAACTTC